CACAGATTTTTGAGAAGAGTATATCTGGTATGTACTTGGGAGAAATCATACGCAGAGTCTTGTGTAGGATGGCTGAAGAAGCTTCCTTTTTTGGTGATACAGTGCCGCTGAAATTGAAAATTCCATTCATATTAAGGTATGCCATTATGTTTTACAGGCTCTCTGCTCTATCCTTCTCTTTTATATAGCTTGCTTTTCTGACTTTGTATTCTGCTCCATTTTGAAAGCTTCAGTCACCATTCCATGCTCTGTATGAGCAGTGGTCTGCTGAGTGCTGATCATATTAACGTGTTGAACAACAAGAATGAATATAGAATTGGCAAGCTAGTACTGTAGTTGGATAATATCTTGGGTTTTTCTTTGTGGTTAGTGTCAGGCACATCATGCTGATATGCTGCAAAATTCCTTGTGACGTTGAAACAAATTAAGTGCGTATGAAGTTCTTTTCATTTTCATGAGGAGCAAATCAGGCAAGCTGGATGGTTTCATTAGCTGAATCACATATTTGATTTTTGAATGTATCTATGTAGGAATATATTTGAAAAAAAAAAGGCAAATAGAGGATTTTCTAGGAGTGCCTTGATGGGTCCATATTCAACTTCATATTATGGATTAGAGGCTCATATCATACTTTCAACTAAGTTTTCATGGTTTTGGATGCGCAAGTCATGCATGTAGGATGGACCCTATAGGGGATGCAGGATTTTAGTTGAGTTTCAATTCTTTTCATCATGTTTAATACTTAGGGTATTTTCTCTGCTTACTTTTATTCATTTATATATATATATATATATGTATATGTATATATGTATGTGTGTGTGTGTGTATCTTATATTACTAGAAAGCATCAAAGGGTTGCACCTATATTACACGTGTATATACAAGGTATCTAAACGATGCTATTTTCTTGTCTCACCCAAAAACTCTACGATAGGATCAAATAAACCTGAAGATTTCATAGTAATCTGGGCGGATAAAAAATGAGTGATAACTCAACATACCATGCTTCGCAGCAAAATAGGTGTTTTCACCCTTTGAAGGTCCTCCTATTGTGCTCTCTCAATTGGTCCCCCATAAGCACAACGGGGCTGCCTACCACTCTAATCTAGCTTTTCAGTTCACTCTACTGCCTTTTCAATCGGCAAGCACATCTTCTATCAAATTCTGTGAGGAACTCCAACAAGCAAAGAACAAGATCACAAATCCCTTGTCTAGGTGCAACAATAAATGGCTTACAGTTTCTCTCTTTGCACATACAGCACCCAATCAACCATAAACTATTTTTTTTTTGGTGAACAGGTTGTCAATTATTAGTTTCCAAGAACTGCCGTCTAGCCAGAAAAGACTACTTTAATAGGGGCTTTAGTGCACGAAATAGCCTTCCAAGGGGACCCACAACGATATCCTTCCCCAAGCACCCTATAATCTCAACTAAAAAAAATCCTCTTTTGGTTCAGCCCACCTCGTAGAATCCTCCTCCCCTCCACAATAACCTATGCATGTAACATATGAAGAAGGCCTCTATTTTCATCCAGCTCTCATTCCTGCGGCAGTGTGAAGAAGTGGATGTCCCATACTACTGACTCGGAAGATAGTTATGCTGATCATACCGATACTACTGACTCAGAAGATAGTTATGCTGATCATAGTTAGAAACAAATCCTCAATCAACATTACCATCTAATCTTTTTTACTATATTACTTTAGGTTGACATATTACCAATTTTTTTTTTCATACCTATATGGTGCCTCAATCTAATGAAAAGTTGAAATTGGTCCCAAGTGTCTGCAATAATAAATAAGGTTTTTTTGGTACTTCTTCCTTGTATATTTGAACAATTTGCAGACAGCTAGTAAGCACTTCCTTTAGATGATCCATAACTATATCTAGTTTTATTGTTCATTCCATTAGTGGTCTGTACAGCTAATTGGCAAAAATCAGAAAATAGTGCTACAATATATCTGACGAACCAAACATGGTGCCATGAGTTATGCTAAACAAAACTTATGGCTTTAGATGATCCATAACTACAGCTAGTTCTTTGAATGATGATTATTTGATATTTATCTGTGAACCATGTAAATTTTTTGCATCCTTATTGTTTAAATGTGTTTGGCTGAAATGTGATGTGCTTTAAATATCATGTGCATTGATCTAATGAAGCATTAGAGCTTGCAAGAAGCTTATTATTGCAACATGTGCAGGATTCTTGACATGTCTGCAATGCATAACGACACTTCTGATGATCTCAGAGTGGTCGGGAGCAAGCTAAGGGATATCTTTGAGGTAAGTACTCTGAACATATTGTGCAAGTAATAAGTGCTTATTTATAATTTCTGTAAGGACATTTTTTCTTTTTTGGATCTCTCTTCCTTTTTGTATAGGATACATTAAAGCTAATGCAGTTTAATGTGAATTTTTCTATCCTAGGGGAGGTGAATTTTAGGGTTTTCTCATTTGTCTCTTCATTTTGATTTGTATCAGATATCTATTACTTCCCTGAAAACACGAAAAATGGGTCTCTCGCTGGTCCTTCAACTCTTCAGCACTGAAGCTTCAACCCAGCTTACCCATTGTGTTTGTAATAAAATACAATAATATATAATAAGGGCAGATAAGTAATTTCGGGCATATATTAAGGGAACAAAAGGGTAAAATCGGGTTTTCATATTTAATTTTTGCCAAAAAGTAGTTAGAGGGGCTTATTTGCATATTTTTTGAATTTTGTGAGCTGAAATGCACCTTTTAAAAAAGGAGGGATACATTCTGCACATAACCTATATTATAGGGGGTTTTAAGCACTTAACCCTTTTAATTTTCAGGTGGGGAGGTGCTAACAAATGGAAGATTTGGTTAACAACTTAGTTAACAGCTTAGAGATGGTGTTGAAAGAGAGACTGGTGGTCGGTGGTGGTGGTCCGGTGGTGGTGGTTGTGGTTGTGGTGGTCCAATGGTGGTGGTGGTGGTGGTGTTGTATATATATAGGTGGCATATAAAGAAAGATGTAATGGGAAATTCTTAAAAGAATAGGAGTAATTTTATCTCAATTGTACTTATCAAATATTAAAGTACGGTGTATAAATTAGCATTGTAATTATTTTTTGTTAAGTCGCATTATACGTAGTTAGAATTTTTTTTAGGTATTTATACTAATTTAAATAGTGTTTAAAATATTTATTATTTTTTAAATTATCCCCAATTTCTAAGTCCAAAAAACTCGAAAGTGTAAAGTTTTTGACTTTATCTATATATATATATTTAGGTTAAAAGAAATTTTTTATTTAGCTGTGGGACGCACTTTATTTTATGTTATCATGTGCCAAATGGAATTAGAGACCCATTGTTTCTGTTCCTCTTCTCTCTCCCCACTGCCTTTCTTCCTCTCTGTATTTCTTTTTTTCTTTTTCTTTTGCAACTTCCACTCTTGATTTCTTCCTTAATCCTTGGTAGATTTGAGAGCCGTTTGAGGCAAAACGAAGCCCACAACGAGCTCTACGCGCTAGTGTAAGCAATTTCAGATTTTGTCTTCCTAGGGACTTCGAATTTAGAGACCCATTTTAAGGGTTTTGGCTCACTTTTGAGGTAGGGACACCTTAATCCACTACTTTCTTGTTCCATTGTGAGTTATACTTCTTTGTTGTGCCAAGCATGCTTAATTAGAAGTTAATTGTATCAATGATTATTTAAATGAATGTTGTCTAGAGAAATTCATGTGTATGAATGTGAGTTGTTTTATGTGTAAAGCATGCTTAAATGTATTTTGTTGTATCTTAATGTATTAATAATTACTTGGGAGAGTTGAACATGTTGAATATTTAATTTTATGGTGTAGAATTTTAAATGCCATGGTATTGAATGTATGGAACATATATACATGCACATACCATTAGGTTTGCATGAAATGGGAGAAATTGTTCTTGAAATAAATATGGAGAATTTCAGGGAAGTGTTTTTGATGAAATGGTTTTATGTGAAACCCGGTCGCTGCGGGGTTACCAACAGGCCGGAGGTTAATATAGCCTAGAGGGGACTAGGGAGTCGCCCTAGCGTGGTTGAGCTAGCTGGGCCCCATAATGACGCCGCGGGGTTACCAAGGGTCAGGGACACTAGCCAACCCTCCTCTCGTGTCGCAGCGGGGCTACCAAAGGGCGGGCTGTATTAACAGTTTGGAAACGATGTTTTGGATTATGAAAATGGGGAGCAACACTAGCATGCATTGCATCTCATACCATTGCATTGGATATACTTGAGATTGAATCGTTATGCTGTATTATTTCCCGACATTGTATGATCCCCATTTCCTATTGGCCTATGTTTTGTTTGTATTCACAAGGACACAAGATGTGTGTCTTAAGTGTCACCTGCTGAGCTTTATGCTCACCCTACTATTTATATTATTTTTTTCAGGTCTTGGAAATGAACTGGTGGACGACAATCCACCTCAAGCTTGAAAGTTGTTAGAAGGTTGTTTGCTATTTTGTATTTTGACCGTTCTATGTATATTCGTAGTTGTGGAAATGTAACTAAGTTAGTATTCATGGCCTTGTAACTTAAGAACGAACTTATATTTTGTTTAATGTAAATGAAACTAATGGAATTATGGTATATGTTTCCATACAATTGTATCATGTAACGTTGTAAGACAGACTTTAAATCTTAACCATATATTTTGGGACTGTAATTATGATAATTTAGATTAATTGGTGTGTGGATGTTCTACCATGAGAGGAACTATGTTGAGGTATAATGAACGGATGAATGGGATGCTGGATGATATTATGTGTTTTGTGTATTGGGACAGGTTGTTGAAGGCCCATTTTTTAGGGAGGTTATGCCGATTTTTTTTTTTTTAAATTTTGGCATCAGCTAGGGTCGTTACAGAGAGTATTTTTTGAAAAACCAATCGAGAGAGTTAATGAAAACGCGGAAAACTTTATTAGGAGGAGGTAATGAAAACGCATGAGAATTTCACATTGCTGTATACGCACATCAAAAGCGCATAAACACACACGTATACACAAGGAAAGGCAATGGTAGAATCATGGAAGCTTCGGAAAATTAATTCTCATAAATAGCCTATTACATGACAATTTAACACTCTCTTGCATTTTATGATATTTTTTTATTTATTATAGTCTAACTATTATCATTTATTTGGACAATATGATCCCCCCTACATCTCTTTTCTACTTTGTGATGTTCGCTTGATAGTTTAGAACATTTCCACATTAGACGATGTTTTGTTAAAAAATATTGCTTTGTTTTGAGAAATTAAAGCAAATGTTAATCAACTTATGTGGAGTGTTATGAACTATCAGATTGAACAACACTGAGTAAAAGAGAGAGAATAATAAGGGAGAGGATCTCAAGCTCACTAGGTATAGAGAGAGTCTTCAATGCATCCCCAAATGGTGTGATGTCTTGCCAGCAGAATGACATGAATTCTCTACAATCTTATGAAGTATTTCACACAATCAAAATCTTCTCTGTTAATGATTTTTTTTGTTGTTCCGCTTGGTTGGTGACACTGAGTAAAAGAGAGAGAATAATAAGGGAGAGGATCTCAAGCTCACTGGGTATAGAGAGAGTCTTTAAAGAGAGTCTTCAATGCATCCCCAAATGGTGTGATGTCTTGCCAGCAGAATGACATGAATTCTCTACAATCTTATGATGTATTTCACACAATCAAAATCTTCTCTGTTAATGATTTTTTTTTGTTGTTCCGCTTGGTTGGTAAAGTTCACCACATTCAATATTATAGTAGTGAAATTTCACCAATTTGCATTCGCTTTTTTGTGAAATTTCATAATTATAATAGTGATTTCTAAACACTTTTTCCACTATAATAGTGAAATTTCACCAATTTGTGTTTGCTTTTGTGAAATTTCATAATTATAATAGTACAACTTAAAAGGTGATGAACTACACAAAACAACATAAAATCGTTACCAGAGATGATTCGATCCCATTCCACCAGAGCATCAAACATTGGACGCCAAATCATCATCGTCAGTTTCTAACCTTCTCTCTCGCTTAGAATTCTTGAGCAGGGGAGCGGCATCATACTCACCTCCACCATTATTCTCTTGAAATGCCATCCCGCGTTTGTACCGTAACAGTATTTGCAAAACCTCCTTCATGGTAGGTCTGGTGGAAGGCAGTGTGAAGGTACAATTGATCCCAAGTTTGAACACACCACACATCTCCTCCAAGTAACAAGGTTCCTTGATCTCCTCATCCAATGCATCTTCTATGGACTTGCCTTCTTGCAATTGATGCCATGCCCATCCTGCTAGCCCCATTTCTTCATCTCCTTCACTGGCTTTCTTTCCGGTTGCTAGTTCCAATAGGACTACCCCAAAGCTATACACATCAATCTTCTCATTCACTCTTGATGTAAGAGCATACTCTGGAATTCATAGTTAGAGAGATGAATGTTTTGGTCAAGCATATTGGTAACAAATTAAAAGCTAGGAAAATTTATATATGTACCATGTATATCACTTACCCGGAGCAATGTACCCAATGGAGCCAGCCACAGCTGACACTGTGTTAGGCTCTCCATGCTTGATCAACATCTTGGCTAAGCCAAAATCTGCTATTTTCGCATTGAATTCGGGATCTAACAAGATATTGCTTGATTTCAAGTCGCGATGAACAATAGGTGGTGAGCAGTCATTGTGCATGTAGCATAGCCCCTGGGCTGCTCCGACTGCAATCTGGAACCTCTTAGGCCAGTCCAGGACAACATGGTGGACTGAACCCGATACACTTGGCTGCCTAGGCCTATTGTTTCCATGGAGCCAGTCATGCAAGCTACCATTTTCCAAAAACTCGTAAACAAGAAGTTTCGAGGTCTCGTTTGACATACAACACAACAATTTCACTATGTTGGAGTGGCGAATTGTGCCTAGTATCTCAACTTCTGCAAGGAATTGCTTCTCCAGTTTTTGGTCCAACTTTCTGTTGTTCCAAATCCTCTTAACAGCAACAAATTCGTCTTCTGAGCTGTTGACTGGAACGCGATACACTTTCCCCGATCCCCCACTTCCTATCATGCAGTTTTCAGTCAATCTCGACAAAATGCTCGACACAGTGAAGTTTAACCTCTGAAATGAAGTGAGTTTCCAGGTCAAATCCAATCCAAGCTTTCTCTTTGGATGAACCTTGATCACGAAGAACGTGAATATAATAGCTAAAACGAACAGAACTGATGCTACACTTATCAACGTAGCAAAAAGCTGGGTGGAAATTCTGCCAGATTTTCTTGCTCCTGAAGAGCAAACTTCAATGCCCAATGATGGCTTACTTGAACAAAGACCAGGATTGTTTAAAAAACTGGCATCAAAAAATGCAATTTCATACTTACCTGGGATTCTCCCAGTGAGACTATTGGAAGAAAGGTTGAGTGAATTCAGCGTCAACTTTCCAAATTCAGGTGGAATTTGACCGGAGAATTGGTTGTCCGACAAGTCCAAAGAAGTAAGGACAGGCAAAGAACCAATCTCAGCTGGAATGTTCCCAGAGAGTTGGTTTCTACTGAGATTTAAAGTATTCAGTGACTTCCAAGAGACTATTTCTGAAGGAAAATGCCCTGAAAGCCGATTCCTATCAAGCGAAAGAGTTGTCAAGAATGGAAGATTTAAATCTTGTGGAATTGTGCCAGTAAAGAGATTGTTGCTTGCTGTGAACACCGTCAAATTCCTCAATGATGAAATCCCAGCTGGAATTTCACCGGAAAGCTGGTTGTTACTGATCTCAAATCGCGTTAAGTTCCTGGGCAATTTATCAGGAAGATGACCGGTAAAGAGATTGTCCCTTATTATCAATTGTGTCAAATTCAATGATGCCCATAAACCAGCCGGAATTTCGCCGGAAAGTCGATTACCATGAACCCGAATATATAATAGACTCATACAATTCCCTAGTGAACTTGGCAATTCACCGGTGAGATTGTTGTACATTGCCATTAAACCTACCAACACTCCGTTGGCGCATATGTACTCCGGCAATTGGCCTGTAAACTGATTGTTGCCCACTTGAAAATCTCTGAGCATTGAGTATCGCCCCAGGTCTGGTGGCAATTGTCCTGATAGATTGTTGCCGAACAACTTTATAACTTGCAGCCCCGCAAACCGGCCAATGCTTTGGGGGACTTCGCCGGAAAGATGGTTGGTAAACAGAGCCAAACCAGTCAGTTTGGTCAGTTTTCCAAAATCATCCGGTATTGTCCCGGTCAACTTGTTTTCTGATAAATCAACCACATCCAAGTTAAAAGCTTCAACTGATGTTGGAATTTCCCCGGACAATTTGTTTTTGTGAAGATGCAGAGTAGTCAAATTCTTCAACAAAAACACGCCATTAGGAATGTTACCAGTCAACTGGTTTGTCGACACATCCAAGAGCTCCAAGGCCGTCATATTCCCGATTGCTTCCGGGATTTCTCCGATCAAATTCGCCGACGACATCCACAAACTTTTGAGTTTCCTCAACTGGGTAAAATTCGAAGGTATCTTCGATGGGGCAAACGGATTGACTGCCATCCATAGTAATTCAAGATTCCACAAGTTTCCAATTTCTGGCGGGAAAGTTCCGTTGAACAGGTTTAGTTCAATATTAAGAGTCCTGAGCTCCGAAAACCGCCCAATTGAGGCGGGAATGTCACCGGTGAAGTTATTGTAGGCGATGTTGAGCTCCCGGAGCTGAGAGGACAACCGGTGGATGTCGCTGGGAATTGATCCGACGAAGTAATTTTGAGAAATGTCGAGTGTTTGAAGCTTGGAACAGTTGTAGAGGACAGTTGGGAACGGTCCGGGGATGTTATTATATTGAAGAACAAGAAGGGTCAAGTTTTGGAGGTCACAAATGAATGGTGGGATTATTCCGCTGATGTTTTTGTCAATGAGTGAGAGTTCTGTCACTGAGCCACTGATGCAGGTGATCTCCGGCCATGTACAGTGGCTTGAGGTTGAGTTCCAATGCTCGATGGAGGGTGGATTGGACCAGTGTTGTTTCAGCTTCAGTAGGATTGCTTGCTCTGGATCAGTGATGGTTTGTGTGTTTCCATGGGAGGGTAGGGTGAAAATGAGGAGAGTGAGTGTGATTTGGAGAAATGTTGGGGATATTTTCGACATTTGGAGGGGTGGGTGTTGGGTCTGCCTGCAGATCAACTATCTGTGTCTGGCTGAGTTTAACATTTCCAGGAAGGAGAGTTTATTGAATGAATTGGTCTCTGAGTCAACGGCAGAATTGGAAATGCAATCATTAAAGTCAACAGTAGAAATTCAAACATGGAAATTTCAAAAGCAAATGAGGTACTAAAAGTCTGACTATTATTATTATTTTTTTTCTTTTTCATGACAAAGATGTTAGGGTCACTGGTTTAAAGGAAAGAGGAGTGTGCATGACTTAAACACAGATTTCTAAATATAAGGAGTAATTTAATCATTCAAATAACATGATAGTTGATGTGATTTACCTTATATTTTTTCCTTCATGAATTATACACGTCATTAATCAATGTTCAATTTAAATTAGGTTGAACAAATGATAGAACTTAAATTAAATTAATCAATCTTCAACTTAAATTAAATTCTAAAGCTCTTAAATCAAAAGTACATATATCCATCTTTCATAGTTAAGGTGATATACATGAGTGAAACTAAGATTTTGCATACACAAATCGATGTGCCGAGCCTAATAATAACAGTGGACGACCTAGATTATTCAAAAATTTCTTATACATATTAGGGTCAAGAAAGTTAGGGGCTAATGGTTAATAATTTGAGGTAAAGAGAGAATATAAGACTCCTAGACATGAGAAGCACCCTAACCACCCAAACAGCACGACACTTCAATTTGTGTAATGAATAAAATTTTGATAGTCTTTAATGTCCACACACACACACATATATATATATATATATATCACGAATAATAAAAAGGTTAAAACAAAGTTTTCATCTATGCTTAAGGAGAGTTCGGAACTACTTTTGCCACCCAAGAAAAGGAGTTGATGATGTTATGATTGTGAACAAAACATTGCCCTATGACAGACATTGTGCTATTTTTGTTGTTATCAAATTATGTTGTTCATGATTCACGAGTCAATACAAAGTCAATCCGTGTCATCTTGCTTACACAATATGACTATATATATGTTAAGACTTGATTAGGTGATAGAATGTTTAAATGGCGTATTATTATTATTCTTGTGATGTAGATCAGAAATTTCATACTAAATTTCAATTTGTATTTTTTCTTCCATTTAAAGGTAAAATAATTAAATGATCAAAGAATCATGCAACTCTAAAAAGATGTATTCGTATATGGAGTAGTTTTGGCATTATATATATATATTTTTTGGCATAATTACAGAATTTAAAATAGGAAAAATGAAATACTAATTTGCTTGTTCTTATGCTCAAAACAAATGACTTTTCATTGACCTAAAGAAAACTAGTAGCACACATCTTATATTCGACACAAATGAATCAAATCAATTAACAAAAAATGGCTCATCGCATAAATGGTACAATGTAGTACAATGAAAATTGTTGACTGAAAAATTAAATGGATCGCACTCTACTGTTTATCGAAAAGTATCTCGCGAATTTTCTTCCAATGCCTTCAAGAAAGGTCATAAATAATAAATAAATAAATAAATAAATAACCATATATTAAGTTCTAAGCTTGCCTACATGAAATGTTGGGAGGGAAGTTCGACTTAGATTGGCTAAATCGGATCCAATTCAATCCTTTTGGTTCGGACAACTAATTTTACAATTAAGATTGAATTTGAGATTTAATCCCCATTGGACTAATATTGATGAGCCTAAATTTAATCAAGTTTTTTTTTTTTTTTTTTTTTTTTTTTCAACATACAAAAGATATTTATAATTGTGATTGATAATTTTTTTTTTTCTTTTCAATTTCTTTTAGTGAAATAAGAGAAATTATTGAGTACCACAAACACACTATAATTCATGGAGAAAAAAAACACCAAACGTAAAGTGAACACAAAAGAATGTGGAAGATGCTACTTGTTGCAATTTTCCGTGTGGAACGCCTTTTTTGAACGCTGACCCATTGATAGTGCAAAGACTAGGAAAAACTTTACATCGCACTAATTTTTTCTCCATAAAAGTACAAAACCAAACCATTGGGGCCCAAGTTGACTAGACTATTTTTTATTTATTTATTTATTTATTTTTACTTTGGACTGGACTTGACTTGGTCGAGATAGAAACTACTGTATTATTTTAATGAGATTTGATCTAATGTGTTGAATGACATTCCTGTCGTTAATAAAAATTTAAGATTTAATTAAGTTGTTATTTTATTATGTTAAAATGTTTTAATAATTTTATATTTTGACATAAAATAACAAAAATGTTATGAAATGTCAAATACAAAGTATCAATTTATATTATTACATTTTACAATTTATTTATTTATTATTATTAATGACATTTGCTTAGGTTTTTTTAGGGTTTGATTAGGTTTCTTTTTTTCTTTTCTTTTTGAAAAAAAAAAAAAAATAGATAGTGTAATATAGTGTTTATAAGATTGTAAAAAAATGAATAAAAGGACAATAAAGTTTTTTGATTTGACAACTATTGTATATTAAACTATTATTAAATTAGATAAGAGTATAAAAGACATTTCCTACATTTTATTGCAAAGTTACAAAGGCCAAACCTCAATGGTGGTCAGTGTAAATTTCTTAACTTTTCTTGCAGCTAAATTGCAATAATAATATTAAATAAATTTAATTAATGTCTATAATGAAATTCTTCACTTTATAAAATCAAATGAAACTTGACAAAAACTCCAACTACGCAATATTCTTTTAGTTTACTTAATTTATGTACTTTGGTAATTTAAAATAAATCTATAGAATTTTTTGTAACGAGTTTCTCAAAATATATATATAATAATAAAATAAATTTGATTACATTTAAACTTGTTCAACAGACAAATAATCAATGTTCACTGTGACAAAATTAATCGCGATGAAAATATACTCATAATGCTTTGACTTCACGTACACTTTCATGTTCCTTCGCGCCATCTCTTGTCGTGGTATTGGAAATATTGAGATTAAATCCATCTTCATTTAGACTTTGGAGATCTATGGTGTGGGTACGGTAAATTTGCCTCAAAAAAAAAAAAAAAGAAAAAAAAAAAAAAAAAAAAAAAAACAACATTATACTGGGTGCGCCTTGCACGTTACGTTATTAGTATATTCGTCTAATAATAAATAAAGAATAAAAAATAAAAAAGTTAGTAATCAACTTTTTTATTTTTCATTCTTTTTATTATTAGACGAATATACTATATTTGATTACTAACTTTTTTATTTATATATATTTGATTACTAACTTTTTTATTTTTTATTCTTTATTTATTATTAGACGAATATACTATATTTGATTACTAACTTTTTTATTTTTTATTCTTTATTTATTATTAGACGAATATACTAATAACGTAACGTGCAAGGCGCACCCAGTATTTACTCAACCTCATGTAACTATCTAGTACCCAGAAAGAGTTTGTTGAATTGAGTCGAGTTTCTTGAATAATAAAAATAGCTAGCTGGTCATACATAATAATAATGCCAGAAGTGCTTAACCCCACTAAAGAAATTGAATTTTACCAAGTGCCCATTTGAAATTATGTTAAAAATCACTTTGATGTATAAATGTGGAAGACAATATTATGAATGTACATTTCAAGGACCTTTTCACTTTCAAAATTTGACAACAGTCAATAGAAATATGTGTTGGGTTTGGGGCTCAAAATTGTGTACAGAAATTAATTTCCTTTTTTCACTTTGAAATGCTGAAATTTGTAAAAGAAATTGTCTTATTTAGTTTGTATTTTAGAATTGGGATTGATATGGTAACTCCTTGTAGGCAAGTTGGGAAATGCGTGTTCAACAAGAAATTGTGTTTTGAAAATTCTATAAAAAAAGATAGGTGTAAGGGGTTTACAGAAAAAGAGAAGAGAGAAAAAATGTAAAGGTTTTAAGGGTGAGTGTTGTGTGGAGAGAGGAGAGTATATGAAATTACTAAATGTATACCTGTCGTCTCAAAAGAGATGATTAGTGAGTAAGTGAGGTTTTAACATGTGGTTGTATATTCAATTCCTTGTTTCATAATAATGAAATCTCTCTCCCATGGACGTAATCTTAGAATTTGGTGAATTATGTAAAATATCGTTTTGCGTGGATGTGTATGATTATTATCTCTATATATGTTTGTGTTGATGTGATGATGTTTTCACTATTTGTGATTAATGGGGAATTTAACTTTCAATAACAGCCGACCTTTGAGTGGGTTGGACATAATTAATTGTTACCCCCAACAATGTGAAGGGAAAAAAATTACTACTGAATAATGATGTTCTTTTATACGAGGATAGAAGAAATTCAAGTGATGTATTCAAATTAAAACATACAAACATATATGTTCAACCGGGGGATTGTGAATTTGAAATTGAGGAACAGACAAATCACAGCCAAAATCAAAGACAAAATAATAATAATAAATATATAAAGCAACGAAGCCATCATAGTATTTTTTAACTTCTTCGAAAAAAAAGGTGGTAATTTGATTATTTACTAATCTAGATTTGATAGATCCGATTTTTTTTTTTTTTTTCGATGGTGGGTAAGGGTAAATTCTATATTGTAAAGCGGTATGCAATGCACAAAAATGAGGCAAAAGAGGAGAATTTCGAGAAAATTATCTAAAGTTGAAGCAGTTGTCACCATTCAATCGGAATGAATCTAATAAATTTGATTTAGCAAAATCTTTTCAATGTTAGCCTCTTGGTACATGGATGTAAAATTTGAATACCCAGTCGTAGAAACTTATGAGCTTACGTTGGTCGACAATCAAATAGGCAAAAATTTCAAAGATAAATCACTGAATTTCCAAGGCAAGTGGTGTATTTATATTAGATTTAATTTGTTAGAGTATTTCAATTAAAATTAATTGAAGTTTCTTCATTAATGGAGTCAAAATTTATTAATTATGTAACTGTGATATTAGTTGTACCAACAGGCCTATAGCCTAACGGTACAAGGCTCCTACTTCTTAAAAGGAGGTCAGGGGTTCGAACCTCAGTGGAGGTAGTGTGTGTGAACCATAACTAGGAAAAAAAAAAGATATTAGTTGTGACATTAGTTATAAAATCTTAGGTTTACGCTGATTTATTATTATTATTAGTAGTAGTGGCCCTGGTGGGTGTTGACAAAGTCGATTGAAAATGCCACCTTAGCAAAAATAAATAAGAGAAAATTATGTTTAAGAATAGTCATTTTTAAAGTTAGTTTTCAGTTTAATTGAATTAAGCAAAATAATTACAAATAAAATGAGAATAATTATTTAGGTTTAAAATGCCTTCAAGTACTTCTTATTCAAAAGGATCAAATTGTCTTTTTAAAATAAGATAATATCTTCACTCAATAAATCTAGCAAAACTTATTGGTAACTCCGTTTAATTTCTGTATAATTGAAGGAGGATTTGCGAGTAAAGAAAATTTAAGATATCATTATTTTTGTCCCATAAAAAGAACTCCATTAGGAGAGAATTGATTTGTACACAATATATGCTCATTCCTCGAAAAGAAGCACGAACATTGTATTCATTTAAGAAGTCTACTCCGAGACTTACACAATACTGACACGGATGAAAGTTTATTGGCTAGCTGTAACAAAGGTCATTTTTTCCGCATCGGATCCGGATGGGAAAGTGATTGGGTATAAATGGGTGGGTATGCAGCACTACCCAACAGCTTGAACTTTTGGATAAATGGGCAAGGGCGTCTGAGTTTTCAGCTCGGGTAGGCAAGGTGACCCGAGCCGCAATGAGAGCGTTGCGAGTTTGGGTGGGGGAAAATGTAACAAGGGTCACTTGTCCTATATCGGATCCAGATGAGGCACTACCCAACAACTTGAGCTTTTGGGTAAATGGGCAAGCGTCCACCCGTTATACTAGCTTCAAATCCAAATCAACAGTGTGTCTTTGGAAGAGTGTTGATTTATAAAATATTACTTTCGTTTTTTTGAAGAAAAGACTTTGTTAATGTGTGGTTTAAGGTGAAATTGTGTACAAATCAATTCTTCAGTTAAACACTCAATTAAAAAATCATTAAACATTGAAACTCTCGTGGCATGCTAACTGGTGCGTGGCACGCAAAACGAGATGCATAATAAATAAATCTTGAAAAATAAAAAATGAGAAACATTACATTAATAATATAAAATTGGTATGAAAATTGGTACTTTGCATTTCAATGGCATTTCGTGGTGATTTTTTTATTTTATGTCAAAATATAAGGTTATTGAGGTCTTTTAACACAAGAAAATGATAACTTAGTTATTTTTTGAATTTTCATTATCAACAGAGGGTGTCGTTGAGCAGACACACGCAATCTTAGAAGAGGCCAAACTAATAAAAACCAAACGTGTTGTCTCTGTATAATTTACCTAAACTTTAAGGGATAAGAGTATAATGTGAGTTGTGCAGCGGAAGATTACTTGTGTTGAAAGTTTTGTATTTTGAAAACAGATTTGTATCTTTTTAAATTTACTTATTTTAGCAATTAATCAATTAATATCATGTAAGATAAAATAAAGTAAAGTAATAAAGTTAGAGATAATATCAGGATTTTTAGCGAGGAAATCTCAATTGGTAAAATAGATAAACTATTTGCGCGGGAAAAACCTCGTACACTGTGCAGTCCAAAGTAAACCGATACACTATATTTGAAACAAAGTACAATGAATTTTGACTCAAGCTTACACCCTATCGTTCTACTAAACACCAATCGCTGCCAATCTTCTGGCTTTGCGATGTCTTGTTTAACGGCTCTTGACCTTAGTCTTATTCTTGATCTCTGTAGAAGGATTGATGGTAAATCAAACAACACTCCTCGAATGCTTTGACCCTTTCAAAATGTGATCGCTTCACCTCTGTTCTTCAAAATCTTAATTTGTAGAAGAAGTAATAGATCTGCTTTTCTAATCGTTGTAGATGCAAGACTTTGATCACAATCAGGATTTGAACATGACTCTAAATTCACTCTTGTGTTTACGTGTGTGTTCTAGAAAGAATGACAGAAAAACCAACTTTGATTTTATGCAAAAATATCTTTTAAGGCTTTTTAAGAATTATGAAGTTGTATTGCAAAAGCAGTATAAACCTAAATGTAAATCAATGTTTATATAGAATTTTCAAAGATCTAGATATGCTTAGGAAAAGTTAATTTTCGTGCATAGGACTTTTGGAAGAATTCTAAACCAAATAGGAAGTTTTAGACAGAACAGGAAACAATTACCTAAACTGTATCAGCAGTTGGTACTGGTAGCCAAAAAGTGGAACCGATTCCCAAAGGACAGAAGACTTTCTTCGAAGCAATGGTTCTTGAACCAGTTCCCACTTGACAGAATCTTGATGAAGGTTTAAAACTTGGAAAGAATTATGTTTTGGCAACTTGAAGAATATACCATATAGGTATAGTGTCCTAAGTGGGAAATAACTTCCTAAAGTGTTGTTTGTTCATTTTTCGTAGATCTCAGTATGAACAATCTTCCAATTTCGCAGCTGATCTTGATCTTGATATGGTAACTTAAGAATTATAACTCGATCAGACTTGTTTTGACATCAAAATTTGCCTATTACAAAAATTATGTCTCACATATAATTTATTCTAAAAAGTTCTGATGTGCTTAGTGGATATTTCATCTCCTAGTCCCTCCCCTAAAGCCCTAACCAACTAACATAAATTGAAAAACTTACATAATCTAATCTCTTAACTTGCAATCATTTAATATTTTTGTTATCAATTATAAGAAATTTAATTTTATAGGTGTAACAAGTAGTTTGGTTGAAAAATTTATGTTTAGTTTTAGAGGAATTTTTGGTCAAATTATATCTTCAGTTACTTCAAGCAATATGTGTTTTGAGAAGAATATTTTACTTATATAAGAAAAAGGATTTTAACAATAATTTGAAACTTATGATATAACTCCAAGGGGTTAGTCTAATTAAAAAATATTTGGGTCCAGGTGTTTTATGAAGTATCAAGTCTTAAGATCAATTGTTGTTATACCAATAATTCTTTAGAAGGGGTGTGTGAGTACCAACTTGGAAAAAAAAAAACTTTGATACATAAAACAAAAAAAAAATTTAATGTTAAAAAAAGTACTTTGATACATAAAACAAAAGACTTTTAATGTTTTCACTAAAATACATGTTCAAATTTAACTACTCTAAGTAGGGTAACTACGAAAACCTTTTCTAAGTGCGGTAGTCCATGCAATCTGTTAAGTTCACCACTATAATAGTGAAATTTATCAAATTTTATTTACTTATTTGTGAAATTTCTTAACAGCATCAAACATTTTTGACGCCAAATCATCATTGTGAGTTTCTATCCTCCTCTCTCACTTAGAATTCTTGAGCAGGGGAGCGGCATCATGCAATTGGTAAGAACCTTCTTCGTGGGTGTGCACGCTGGGCTCTCTCCAGCGCTCACGCGTGCATCCCAATCAACGTCGACATCAAACAGATGTTGGATCAAGGAATATATGCTAGTGCTTTTTCAGCAAGATGAAGGAATATCTGCAGATCTGATCTGGATTTGTATGGTGGTAAGTTGGGCCTTTGCCATTAGGGCCACAAAAGGTTGAGATTGCTGGTGAAGATATGTGGACGCTTTAGTACATGAAATAGGTGTGTCGAGCAGTTACTGTTTTTTGTAAAAAAAGAGTACCTGCTCTTGTGTTTCCCAATGAGCCCGAAAATTCAGGCTTCTTTGGGTTGGGTGTTGATTAAGAAAGTTCTAGAATAGTAGCCTAGTGATTTCTCTTCCCTACCAAAGTGAAGTTTGATGATTCCGTCTCCTAAAGACGAGTGTTTAAGGTATTTTCTTAGGAGGGAATAAAAATTAAAACTGTATGTTGAGGGAAATAATCCTACATCTAATTTTGTAGCTTGTCTAAAAAAAACAAAAAAGGACTTGAAATCTAATTGAAACTCTATATAACTCATTGATCTTTAAAGTGAAAAGCAAGACTTAACGGGGATTTACTATAAATAAAAGGTAATGAGATGTTGACAAGGAGGAAGAATTTCACATTGTTATATGCCTATCAAAAGTGCGTATGCACCCACACACGTGCATACGGAAGGAAAAGTAATGGTAGAGCCATGGAAGGTTATGGAAATTGATTTTCATAATAGGCATCAACAGACCACGGTTCAAATCCAAGAGTTGCTCTTCTATATTCTAAGTCAAAGTTGAGGGTTAAAGTGGAGGAATCAAATTGACACGTGCATGACTTTTACTATTACAAACGAGAGACATCATGTCTCTTTTCTTTTCATTTTATTATTATTCTTTCTATCCTATTCTAACCATATCACTTATTAGGACAAGATCCTGTCATGGCATTATCTTTTTACTATGTGATGTTTAATACAATGGTGATGCCATGTCGTCTAGCTGGCATGACATCACCATTTGCAGCTAGCATTAGCATTTCACATAATCAAAATCATCTCTAGTAATAAGTTCTAACCCAAAAAATTCAAACTATTGTTTGAAAAGCCAGAGAGAGTTAATGAAAAATTGGGAGAAACTTTACTAGGAGGAGGTAATGAAAACTAGTGTGAATTTCAGATTGCAATATGCCCATCAAAAGCTTATGCGGGCGTGCGTACAAGGAGGTTCGGAAAGATCCTCATAAATAGGAATCAACATTTCAAATCCTAGAGAACCTACCCTTTCCCTCACGCAAAGTACATGACAATTTGTCAATCAAAAGAGATAAAACTGTAAGTTCAAGTGATATCTTTCAAATGGAAGGATAAGGGACCAATCGAAGAAATAGATGCTCCACTTTATTCTATATCAAAAGATGGAGGGTTCAAGTCCTTTGTTGTACCGATGAATGTCAGAGAGAAACCATCTCTTTTTTCCGGAGTGGCATCGTACTCACTTCAACCATTATCGTCTCGGCATGCCAGTGCAGTTGCATAGTAGCAGTATTTGCAAAACCTCCTTCATGGTGGGCCTGGTCGAAGGCAGTGTGCAAGTACAATTGATCCCGAGCTTGAACACATTACTCATCTCCTTCAAGTAACAAGGTTTCTTGATCTCCTCATCCAATGCATCTTCTATGGACTTGCCTTCTTGCAATTGATGCCACGCCCATTCTACTAGACCCATATCTTCGTCTCCATCATTGGCTCTCCTTCCAGTTGCTAGTTCTAGAAGGACTACTCCAAAGCTATACACATCGATCTTCTCGTTCACTCTTGTTGTGTGAGCATACTCTGAAATTCATAGTAAGAAAGATGAATATTTTCGTCATGCATATATTGGTAACAAATTAAGAGCTAGCAAATATTATATATGAACTATGTATGTCACTTACCTGGAGCAATGTACCCAAACGAGCCAGCCACAGCTGACATTGTATTAGGCTCGCCATGCTTCATCAACATCTTGGCTAAGCCAAAATCTGCCATTTTCGCATTGAATTCAGGATCCAACAAGATATTGCTTGATTTCACATCGCGATGGACAATAGGTGGTGAGCAGTCATGGTGCATGTAGCACAGCCCCTGTGCTGCTCCAACTGCAATCTGGAACCTCTTAGGCCAGTCCAGGATGACATGATGGACTGAACCCGGCTGCCTAGTCGTCTCCCTTCCGTGGAGCCATTGATCCAAGCTACCATTTTCCAAGTACTCGTAAACAAGAAGTTTTGAGGTCTCATTTGACATGCAACACAATAATTTCACTATGTTGGAGTGGCGAATTGTGCCCAGTATCTCTATTTCTGCTAGGAATTGCTTCTCGAGATTTTGGTCCGACTTTCTGTTGTTCGAAATCCTCTTAACAGCAACAAATTCACCTCCTGAGTGGTTTACAGCAACGCGATACACCTTCCCCGACCCCCCACTTCCTATCATGCAATTTTCGGTCAAGCTCGACAAAATGCTGGACTCTGTAAAGTTCAACCTCTGAAATGAAGTGAGTTTCCACGTCAAATCCAATCCAAGCTCTCTCTTTCCATGAACTTTTATCACAAATAACGTGAATATAATAGCCAAAATGAACACAATTGATGATATACCTATCAATATAGCTAAAAGCTGGGAGGAGATTCTGCTAGATTTTCTGGCTCCTGAAGGGCAAATTTTAGGGCCCAGTAATGGGTTAATTGTACAAAGACCAGGATTGTTTAAGAAACTGCTATCGAAGAAGGGTGTTTCAAGTTGATATGGAATTCTCCCTCTGAGACGATTAGAAGAAAGGTTGAGTGAATTTAGCTTCAATTGGCCAACTTGAGGTGGAATTTGACCCGAGAATTTGTTCTCCGACAAGTCCAAATAATTAAGCACAGGCAAAGAACCAATCTCAGCTGGAATTTTCCCGGAGAGTCGGTTTCTTTTGAGACTTAAAGTCGTTAGTGAATTCCATGAGAGTATTTTTGAAGGAAAATGCCCGGAGAGCTGATTCCGATCAAGTAAAAGAGTTGTCAAGAGTGGAAGATCTGTTAGCTCTTTTGGAATTTTACCAGTAAAGTGATTGTTGCTTGCTTCAAACACAGTTAAATTCCTCAATGAGGAAATCCCAGCTGGAATTTTACCGGAAAACTGGTTGTGACTTATCAGCAACCATGTCAAACTGATTGATGTCCATAAACCAGCCGGAATGTGGCCAGAAAGTCGATTACCATGAACCCGAACAACTTTCAAACTCCAACAATTCCCAAGTGAACTTGGCAATTCACCGGTCAAATAGTTGTCAAATGCTGTGACAGCTTCCAGCACTCCGTTTGCGCATAAATACTCCGGCAATTGGCCTATAAACCAATTAGCTGAGATTTTAAATTCTCTAAGCATTGAGTGTCGCCCGAAGTCCGGTGGCAATTTTCCTGATAGATTGTTGCCCATCAACTTTATAACTTGCAACGCCGGAAGGCGGCCAATGCTTTGTGGCACTTCGCCGGAAAGTTGATTGTTAAACAGAGCCAAATAAGTCAGTTTCATCAGTTTTCCGATTTCATCCGGTATTGTACCGGTCAATTCATTTTCTGATAAATCAATCACATTCAAGCTCAAAGCTTCAACTTATCTGGGAATTACCCCGAGCAATTGGTTTCTGTGAAGATGCAGAATAGTCAAATTCTTCAACAAAAACACCCCACTAGGAATGTTACCACTCAACTGGTTTGCCGACAAGTCCAAGAGCTCCAAGACCGTCAAATTCTCGATTGTTTCCGGGATTTCTCCGACCAAATTCGCCATGGACATCCACAAAATTTTTAGTTTCTTCAACTGCATAAAAGTCGAAGGTATTATCGATGGCGCAAACTCATTGTAAGCCATCTGAAGAGTACCGAGCTCGGACAACTGGCCAATTGAGGCGGGAATGTGGCCGGTGAATTTGTTGTAGGCGAGATTGAGGTCCTGGAGAGAGGACAACCGGTGGATGTCGCCGGGAATTGGGCCAACAAACTTGTTAGAAGAAAGGTCGAGTTTTTGAAGCTTGGAACAGTTGTAGAGAACCGTAGGGAACGGTCCCGAGATGTTATTATTTTGAAGATGGAGAAGGGTCAAGTTTTGGAGGTCACAAATGAAAGGTGGGATTGTTTCTGTGAGGTTTTTGTCACGGAGTGAGAGTCCGGTTACGGAGCCACCGCTGCAGGTGATCTCCGGCCATGTACAGTGGGTTGAGGTTGAGTTCCAGTGCTTGATGGAGGGTGGATTGGACCAATGTTGTTTGAGCTTCAGTAGGATTGCTTGCTCCGGATCAGTGGTGGTCTGTGAATTTCCATGGAAGGGTAGGGTGAAAATGAGGAGAGAGAGTATCATTTGAAGAGATGCTGGGGATGTTTTAGACATTTGGAGAGGTGGTGGGCGTTGGGTTTTCCGGCTAAGCCACTGTGTGCGTTTGATGAGTTTACATTTCCAGGTGGGAGAATTTATTGAATGGAAATTGATAGAAGTCACTATAGAGTTCTATAACTTGGTGAAGTGTCAATTCAATAGTTCAACTAAACACCTTATGGAAAGGATGCAATGTGAAATCAATGGCTGAATCTCAAACATGAGGGATTTTTGTAAATAAATAAATAATAATATTGCCAATGTGGAATGGTTTTTTTAAAAAGGACTTAAAGTCAACAAGTTAATGGCACGTTCAAGAGTTTTTTTTTTCTTCTTTCTTCTATACCACCAATTGTCCTGCTGTACAAGTCAAGCAGTCAACTTTATCCGAAATATCCAAGATACTTCTTGTATAACATAACAGCGGCACAATAAAAATGAATCACATATTTGATTTTTGAATGTATCTACGTAGGAATATATTTGAAAAAAAAAAAAAAAGAAAGAAAGAAAGAAAGAAAAGGCAAATAGAGGATTTTCTAGGACTGATGGCTCCTAGAAATTGATGGCTCCGTATTCAACTTCATAATTAGAGGCTCATATCTCTTTCTGTCGACTACATTTGATGCAAAATCATACTGTCAACTAAGTTTCCGTGATTTTGGCTGCATAAGTCATACATATAGGACGAACCCTCTTGAGGGGGATCCAGGTTTTTGGTTGAGTTTCACTTCTTTTTTCTATTCATCATTATTTATATCTATATCTATATTATTATTAAATATAAAAAATTTCAGTGTTTTAGTATTTATTTATTTATATAAAAAAATATATATTAATTAATATAAAAATAATTTTTATAAAAATAATTTTTATAAAATTTTAAAAATTAGCTAATAAAATTAATCACAATAAAATATTTATTAATTAATATAAAAAAAATAATTATTTTTTATAAATAATTATCACAATATAACCTGTTCGATTAAATTATAATAATATTATTATCAGAAGAACACACGTGTCAATTCAATAGTTCAACTAAACACCATGTGGAAAGGATGCAATGTGAAATCAATGGCTGAATCTCAAACATGAGGGATTTTTGTAAATAAATAATAATATCGCCAACGTGGAATGGTTTTTTAAAAAGGGACTTAAAGTCAACAAGTTAGTAGCATGTTCAAGAGTTTTTTTTTTTCTTCTTTCTATACCACCAATTGTCCTGCTGTACAAGTCAAGCAGTCAACTTTATCCGAAATATCCAAGATACTTCTTGTATAACATAACGGCGGCACGATAAAAATGAATCACATATTTGATTTTTGAATGTATCTACGTAGGAATATATTTGAAAAAAAAAAAAAAAAAAAAAGAAAAAAAAGAAAAAGAAAAAAAAGAAGGCAAATAGAGGATTTTCTAGGAGTGAGGGCTCCTAGAAATTGATGGCTCCGTATTCAACTTCATATTACGGATCAGAGGCTCATATCTCTTTCTGTCGACTATCTTTGATGCAAAATCATACTTTCAACTAAGTTTTTGTAGTTTTGGCTGCAGAAGTCATACATATAGGACGAACCCCCTTGAGGGATTCCGGATTTTAGTTGAGTTTCACTTCTTTTCTCTATTCACTTTTATTCGTATCTATATCTATATTATTATTAAATGTATAAAGAGTTTCAGTATTTCAGTATTTTTTTATTTATATAAAAAAAAATATTTATTAATTGATATAAAAATAATTTTTATAAAAATAGTTTTTATAAAATTTTAAAAATTACCTAATAAAATCAATCACAATAAAATAGTTATTTTTTATGCATAATTATCATAATATAACCTGCCCGGCCAAGTTATGATTATGTTATTATCAGGAGAGGACACATGTCATCATCATATTAATCTAAGGAACCTATAAATACAGGCATGGAGGAAGGAGGAAGGGGCACAAAAATTAAGAATTCTAAAAATTCAGAATAAAATACAGAAACTCTGCCAAAAAGTTTCAGTATTTATTTATTTATTTATATAAAATATATTTATTAATTGATATAAGAAAAGTTTTTATCTATGATATTATTAAATGTGCGAAGCATTTCAATATTTAAGTATTTATATATAAAAATATTTATTAATTGATATGAAAAGATTTTGAAAAAAAAAAAAACCTACCTAATAAAATTTAAATTAACCTATTTATCTATTTATTATTATGAATTTTTTAACAAAACAAAATCTAATTAGACAAGAATTATTAATATAAAAAATATTTTTTAATTGATATATAAAATAAAATAATTTTTCTAAAATTCTACCACAAATTAGCTAGGATATATTTAAAGAAAATAAAATAATTTCTATAAAATTCTATCACAAATTGCCTATTTTATTTTCAATAAAACTTTATTACACTAGACAAAGATATATTTAAAGAGTTTCTATAAAACTCTAAAACAAATTACCAATTTATATATTTATTATGAGTTTTTTAATAAAAAGAAATCTAAATAGACAAGTATTACTAATATAAAAAATTATTTATTAATTGATATAAAAAGGGGTTTTAAAAGAGTTTCTATAAAACTTTAACTCAAATTATCTATTTATTATAATCTTTTAATAAAAAGGAAATATAATTAGACAAGAATTATTAATATAAAAAATATTTATTAATTGATATAAAAAGAGTTTTTAAAAGAGTTTCTATTAAACTTAAACTCTAACACAAATTACCTATTTCTCTATTTATTATAATTTTTTTAATAAAAGTAAATCTAATTAGACAAGAATTATTAATATAAAAAATATTTTTAAATTTTTATAAAAAATAAATTAATTTGTATAAATCTATATCTATACTATTATTAAATGTGCAAAGAGTTTTAGTGTTTCAGTATTTATTTATTTATATAAAAAAAATTTATTAATTGATATAAAAATTGTTTCTTTAAAACTTTAAAATAAGATATATTTAAAGAGTTTCTATAAAACTCTAACAGAAATTACCAATTTATCTATTTATTATGAATTTTTTAATAAAAGGAAATCTAATTAGACAAGTAACATTAATGTAAAAAATTATTTATTAATTGATATAAAAAGAGGCTTTAAAAGAGTTTCTATAAAACTTTAACACAAATTAGTTATTTATCTATTTATTATGATTTTTTAATAAAATAAAATATAATTAGACAAGAATTATTAATATAAAAAATATTATTAATTGATATAAAAAGAGTTTTTAAAAGAGTTTCTATTAAAGTCTAACACAAATTACCTATTTATTTATTTATTATAAGTTTTTTAATAAAAGAAAATCTAATTAGATAAGAATTATTAATATAAAAAATATTTTTTAATTTATATGAAAATATCTATACTTTTATTAAATGTACAAAGAGTTTTAGTGTTTCAGTATTTATTTATTTATATAAAAAAATAATATTTATTAATTGATATAAAAACAGTTTCTATAAAACTCTAAAATAAGATATATTTAAAGAGTTTCTACCAAATTATAACACAAATTACCAATTTATCTATTTATTATTAGATTTTTAATAAAAGGAAATCTAATTAGACAAGTATTATTAATATAAAAAATTATTTTATATAGACCGAGATTTTTTATTTATTTATTATTTATTATTATTTTCGGGTTCGGTTCATGTGGGCCTGGGTCAGGTCAAGTGTTTGGGATTGGTGAAGGCCTAAATTAAAGATTATTGGGGACCCAATTGATATGGTTGTGATAAGATGTTGCCTTAGTGTATTTAAGTGGAAGTTGCTTGGAGGAAGGAGGTAATTACTTGGAAGTTTTGGGTTAAGTGACGTGATTATGCATAGTTGTGGGGTGGACTATAAGTAGGGTTTGGAAGACATCTTCTTCATTGTCTTCTTCATTTTTCTCTCTCTATATCTTGAGATATCACCCACCATATATAGGCACCTTTGACCTTGAGATTTGAAGGCCTTAGGTTAGAATTTTGGTTGTGGCCAAGAAGAGAAAACTTGTCTTCTCTTCTTCCTCTTCATTTATATGGAAGAAAATTTGAGTTTGAAGCACATTGGAGATTCAGGTTCCATGGAAGTTGGATTTGAGAGAGGGGACAATTGGAGAAGTTGAAGAGCATGTCTTGATCTACACAATGGTGTAAATTTTGTGGCCATTGGAGTATCTTGGATTTTCGGCCAAGCCAAAAGTAGAGGCGTTCGGGGTGGCCTCAAGAAGAGAAGTTGTTCTCCACTCTTTCCTCTTCTCATTGGTGGTCTTAGCTTCCATTTTAGTGGAGCTTAATATGAATTTGGAGTATTTTGAACCTTTGATAATTTGGGGGTTTTTACTCTCTTTGATGTATGAGTATAATTACCAATTGATCTATGATTTTGAAGTATTTTTACGTCATTATTAGGTGTTTTGCATGCATAGAAAAGAATGACTTGTATTATATCATTAAACTGTTTTAACTTGAAATTAATCTTATCAAATTAAACATAGATCATGAACATATAATTAATTAGCTTCCACTTAGTTTTGGTTTCATGTAATTTGGATTTAAAATGAATTAGTTATGAATTTTTGAAGTTGCAAGCTAGTTGCTAGAAATTAAAATCTTTCCTTACCTAGTCCGGAAATGAATTTTTATATGGAGCTGTGATTCTTCAATTTCTTTGAAATTTTTACTGGAACTTCCCCCATGGGTCTTCTAGTACCCAGATTTTTTGAACGAATTTAGAGCATTCCTAAATTTTATTAAAAATCTGAAACTACCTACTGTCTGTATTTTTATTGCAACTGGAAAACCTATTTTTAGATGATTTATTTCACTAACCTTTTGACACTAGATCGTGGCTTAAATTTTCAATTTTACACTCTCATATGTTTACTTTCAAAATAAATTTATTTTGCCTAATTTGGATGTCAAATGAATTATTTACGAATTTCTTTTGTATCCGCTACCCAAATTTTCTTCGAGTTAAAGATTACTGTTTTTCTTTTGAAAATTGATTTAAATGGCAAATGTCTTTGCTAAAGTAAATTGATATTTTCAAAGTATGATATTTAAACTTTATTTGGGCTTTAGATTCATTCAATTTGATTAAGAATTGCATTTTTTGTGAATTTTCAAAGTTAGATGTAACAAGCTGAAAACTCTATTTTTTGAACAGAAAATTTGAAGTTTGTTTTCATTTCGGTGGATTTTGGGGTTTTCATCCCA